CCTACAGGAAATGTCCCGAGGTAGACATTCTCAATAGTGCAAACATGAATAACACAGAGCAGTGCAGCAGGCAGATTGATGGGAGAAAATAGTTTGAGAGTATTTTCACTCCGGGGAGTTGTAGAAAATAATCCTACCCATTAGAAAAAAACAAAAGATGAGACTTGCTCTGCATTATTTGATATTGCTGGGGTCCAGTTATGTCATTTCAACTTATGGGCCCCATGAAAGAGCACAGATGACCGCTGATATTTTACTCGGAGGTCTTTTCCCCATACACTTTGGTGTTGCATCCAAAGACCAAGACCTTGCAGCCCGGCCACAATCCACACGGTGTGTCAGGTAAAATTTAAGACTGGTTTAATTAGCTGAAAAAGTTTTGCAAATTGAGTGTGTTCAATTCAGTTAAATCCATGCTATGTGTGAATGTTTTTGCAGGTTCAATTTCCGTGGGTTCCGTTGGCTCCAGGCCATGATTTTTGCAATTGATGAGATAAACAACAGCAGCACTCTCCTGCCCAACATCACTCTGGGTTACAGGATCTTTGACACATGCAACACAGTGTCCAAAGCCCTGGAAGCTACCCTTAGTTTTGTTGCTCAAAATAAAATTGATTCCCTGAATTTGGATGAATTTTGTAACTGTACTGATCACATCCCATCCACTATTGCAGTAGTAGGAGCAGCAGGATCTACTGTCTCCACAGCAGTTGCAAACCTACTGGGTCTTTTTTATATTCCTCAGGTGAGTACAGTGGCTGGTCAGCACCACATTAATATTCCACCTCAGTCATGGCTTTGTAACTTGAAAATTATGTCCACAATTAATTTGCAGCAGCTAATACAGGACAACTAATACTGCACCAATGATGTTTTTTATCAAGAAAATGACAAAACCTTTATATTGAATTAAGACAAATATAATCAGGACTCACTCAGCTTGATAGATGATTTGAAATCTTTCCTGTTTCAGATCAGCTATGCTTCTTCTAGTCGCTTACTGAGCAACAAGAATCAGTATAAATCCTTTATGAGAACCATTCCTATAGATGAGTTCCAGGCTACAGCCATGGCAGACATCATTGAATACTTCGAGTGGAACTGGGTCATTGCAGTTGCCTCTGATGATGATTATGGACGCCCAGGGATTGAAAAATTTGAGAAGGAAATGGAAGAGCGAGACATCTGCATTCACCTAAACGAGCTTATTTCACAGTACTTTGAGGATCATGAAATCCAGTCTCTGGCTGACAGAATTGAAAACTCCACAGCTAAAGTAATTGTTGCGTTTGCCAGCGGTCCAGATATTGAGCCTCTAATCAAAGAGATGGTCAGAAGGAACATCACAGATCGTATCTGGCTAGCCAGTGAAGCATGGGCAAGCTCCTCCCTTATTGCCAAACCCGAGTATCTTGATGTTATGGCAGGGACTATTGGTTTTGCTCTAAAGGCAGGGCATATACCTGGCTTTAGAGAGTTCTTACAACAAGTCCACCCAAAGAAAGACAGTCATAATGGATTTGTCAAGGAGTTTTGGGAAGAAACCTTTAACTGTTACCTGGAAGACAGCCCAAGATTGCAAGAAACTGGCAGCACTAGTTTTAGGCCTCTCTGTACTGGTGAGGAAGATATCACACGTGTTGAGACCCCATATCTGGACTACACACACCTTCGCATCTCCTATAATGCGTATGTTGCAGTTTATTCCATTGCACAGGCCTTGCAGAACATACTTACCTGTACGCCTGGACACGGACTTTTTGCCAACAATTCCTGCGCAGATATAAAGAAAATGGAAGCATGGCAGGTAAAATATAGCATTTTCTCATAACCAAAGCAATTAAATACTTGATTTATTGACATGTGAAGCATCTGAATGTGGGGCTCTGCTTCACAGGTCCTGAAGCAGCTCAGACATTTGAACTATACCAACAGTATGGGGGAAAAGGTGCACTTTGATGAGAATGCAGACCTGGCAGCGACCTATACCCTTGTAAACTGGCACAGGTCTGCTGAAGATGGCTCTGTGGTGTTTGAGGAGGTTGGGTACTACAATGTGCACAGCAAGAGAGGAGCCAAACTGTTCATTGACAAGACAAAGATTCTGTGGAGAGGATTCAGTTCAGAGGTCAGTCATATTGTTTTGTGGAGGATGTTCTCATCCATGCTTTCTGGTGTTTCTGTTTCAGTGATGTTTATAGAATTAATAGCATGTAGTCACAGCAAGAAGGGTAAACATTAACATGACTGGGGTCAATAAAACAAGCTGAAAACACATCACTGAAATATTACAGGCTTATAAAATTGTTCTGATAAATGTGTTTGAAAACATTATTTACAATTCATTTATTTACATTTTAATCATATTTATGAACAACCAATATTCCCTCTCGTTTTAGCTCTCTTTTGTTCTCCATCAAATCCTGAGAGAAATATGTGGCTCTTCAATTGCAAGATTCTCTGATATGGTTCTAAATTACATTTTTTTTTTATCTGACTGGGTAGATGCTATACAATGAATTTATCAGAGCTGGAAATAAGGTTAATAAGAGCAGTGAGACTTAACTAAACAGTAAAGGTGGTGGGTTTTTTTTCCAGCTCTCTCATTTTCACTAATTAAATTTGAATACATTTTAATCTATTGTAAGTTTATTTTCTGCTCTGTCTTGTGCAACTTTTGTTTCCATTTTATTTGCTTTAGGTGCCATTTTCTAATTGCAGTGAGGACTGTGACCCTGGCACAAGAAAGGGTATCATAGACAGTATGCCCACATGCTGCTTTGAGTGCACAGAGTGCTCAGATGGAGAGTACAGTAATCATAAAGGTACTGAGATGTCAGGCACTCACAATATCATACTAATGTTACACTTTGTTAATGTTACAGTTGTAATGCAAAAGATTTTTTTCAATCTATACAGATGCCAGTGTTTGTACCAAGTGTCCAAATAACTCCTGGTCCAATGGGAACCACACATTCTGCTTCCTGAAGGAAATTGAGTTTCTCTCCTGGACAGAACCATTTGGGATAGCTTTAGCCATATGTGCAGTACTGGGTGTTGTCTTGACAGCCTTTGTCACAGGAGTCTTTGTCAGATTTCGCAACACCCCAGTAGTGAAGGCCACAAACAGAGAACTGTCCTATGTCCTCCTGTTCTCACTTATCTGTTGCTTCTCCAGCTCTCTCATCTTCATTGGAGAGCCACAGGACTGGACGTGCCGTTTACGCCAACCTACCTTTGGAATCAGTTTTGTTCTCTGTATCTCCTGCATCCTCGTGAAAACTAACAGAGTGCTTTTGGTATTTGAAGCTAAGATCCCTACAAGTCTCCATTGTAAATGGTGGGGATTAAACCTACAATTTCTGTTGGTGTTTCTGTGCACATTTGTCCAAGTCATGATATGTGTGGTCTGGCTTTACAATGCCCCTCCTTCTAGCTACAGGAATTATGACATTGATGAGATCATTTTTATCACCTGCAATGAGGGCTCTGTAATGGCTCTTGGGTTTCTTATTGGCTATACATGCCTCCTGGCTGCTATATGCTTCTTCTTTGCATTTAAATCACGGAAACTTCCAGAAAACTTTACAGAAGCTAAGTTCATCACTTTTAGTATGCTTATATTCTTTATTGTTTGGATCTCTTTTATCCCTGCATACTTCAGTACTCACGGCAAGTTTGTTTCAGCTGTGGAGGCCATTGCAATACTGGCATCTAGTTTTGGGATGCTGGCCTGTATCTTCTTCAACAAGGTCTATGTCATCCTCTTCAAACCTTCCAGGAACACCATCGAGGAAGTCCGGTGCAGCACTGCTGCGCATGCATTCAAATTGGCTGCCAAAGCTTCACTAAAACATAACACAGCTTCAAGAAAAAAGTCAAGCAGCAATGCAGGCTCGTCCGCCTCGACTCCATCTTTATCCAGCAGTCTCAAGACCAATGACAATGACTGTGAGCCGTCATCAGAAAAACATACGCCAAGGGTGAGCTTCGGCAGCGGAACAGTTACTTTGTCCTTGAGCTTTGAGGAGTCAAGGAGGAGTTCTCTGATGTGATTGCATATGAGTGAGTCAGCTTTGTCAGTCACATTAATAGGATGTGCCTTTATTTTGAAATGCAGTTACATAATTTTATTAATCCTGTGACTCTTTTTGTTTTCAATATAATCCTGATCAGGAGCATGGCTAAACATAAAGCTCTACTGGGGTACAAGCCCCTCATTATGCAAAGCACAACTATTTTTCTTGAAACAACTACTGGTAAAGCTAAAAATGTAGAGATGTTAATCTTTATGAAAATATTTATTTCAACATATATTAACAACATTATCAACGTGTTTTTATGCTGTAAAGGTCTGGTCCTGTATTGCACATTTCTTTTTATTCTTCTGCATTTCACAATAATAGCCCTAGTTTGATTTGTCTATCAACAGATCATGAATCTAAAAAATAAATAAATAAATAAAAACTATTCATGTTTTGTAACTCATAAAACCACAAAACATATTAATTCTCCAATACCTTTGAAACTGTATTGTGCAATGGATAGCTGGTGCTGACACACCTGTCTCCACAGAGGTCCCTGCACCGACATTTTTCTCCACACTTTCCCTTCCTGTCTCAGGCTCACTTGTTTGTTAAATGTTTATAAAACAAACATCATTTGGACTGTGTGACAAGCGCATCAGATATGTTATAGGCTATTCATTAAATGCAGAATGAATAGTCCAACATTAACATAGACCACTACATGTGATGTACACTGACTGCCAACTGTATTAGGTACATCTGTACGATTGTATGTGCTTCAATACAACACGTCCACCTTAAGATTTGTGTTTATGAAGCTCAAAATGTTTCAGTTTTGCTTGTTCAGTTATATGCATACATGAAGCTACAAAAGAGAAAGCAGAATTAAATTTAGAAAACTGTTGTTTAAGCAAGTTCTGAATTTAGGAAAACTAATTGTTACAGCTTTGGTGTGTACTGTGCAATGTAATCTAATGTGCATGGAAGATTAAGGGCACGGACGTGAATTTTCATTAATTTATGCTAATCAAAAGCATCCATTAAAAACATTTAATGCATCATTTAGAAAAAATCTTTTATTGTATCCAAGGAGCTCCAAACATCTGTGAGGTATTTTGGAAATCCAACTTTCCCTGTTTTTCACTTGGATACATTTATTATAAAAACAAACAAGCATACAACAACAATAAAAACAGGACAACACTTCCTTTATTTCCTCTTGTCTCCTGGACTGATTTTTTAAAGAAGTCCTGTGAAGTGCTTTTCTATACAGAACCTGTTGCCTTCACCATTAACCTGCTAAGATCTAATCAAGCCAAAATCAGCATCAGAGCTTTGGGGGTTCATTTAACATCCCTGTTACTGTGTTAATGGATTGCAGGGGAGACAAGGACAAAACATCCTTAGAAACATTCAAGTCTCCAGCAGGTGCATCATTTTGAGTCGAGCATCACTGTAGCATCTTTTCCACTGGGTGTCAGCGTCTCCCTCTCCTCCTCTGTCCTGTCCTCTCCTCTCCATGCATCTATATGCCACCATTATGCATCAATACCTTTGTGTCTCCTCTGTGCCGCAGTGTGTCCTCTCTCTTCCTGTACCTTTCTGCGGGTAGCCCTGGCTCTTGAGCTGTATTTTTCTGATGAACCCTCAGGAAATATATGTTACCATTTTATGTTCCAGTTCTTTAGGGTAATTGAGAGAAAGTGATGACTTCTTGACCCACACTCCTTACCAGTTGGTGGTGGTAATATGCCAATTCCTTTGCCAATCGCCAATACATTTCAGAAGAAGAAGAAGAAGAAGAAGACGACGAAACAGCAGCACAACAAGAATAACAAGAACAAGAAGAACAAGAAGAACAAGAACACAAAGAAGAATAAGAAGGGCAAGTATAACAAGAACTGTATATATGACGGCAAGGTATTTGTTGAATGCAAATACATTCATTGGGGACATCATCACTTTCGACCCACTGACTATGATGAAGCAGTTGACAGAATGAAAAATTATATGTACCCGAATACTTTATGCCACTGGATATTTTGTAAACAGACACATGGTTATTTCCCCACGTTCTTTGTTTTCTCTTATTTTCTCCCCGAAATTCCTGTGTTCATTGCTAAAGCTTTCAGCGTAAAACACGTCCAGCAGAAGTGTTGTGTATTTATGCTGACTTGATTTGATACACTGTTGACATATTTCATGCACTGATATTCTAATTACTGTAATTATTTAATGTTAAAAGACAAGATGTGCAAACAAAGAAGTATCTATTACGTGTATCAGGGATACGTGGCACAGCATTTCACTAATTTAAGACTGTTTACTTTACGGGTGCGGCAGCTAAAGCCAATATTTGTCTAGCTTTTACAACACTTCACTTTAGGCATATTCGGTGCTGGTCGGTGACGAAACTCGTAGGAATCCCGGGGGCGCCATACAAAATGGCGCGGCTACAATGCTAGTGTTGCTAGCAGTAAATCACTAATGTTATCTTTTAGAGGATCAGACTGGTTTTAACAGTCTTGGTAGCGGCACTTGTGTGCTGATATTTCGCTAGCTAAATAGGTTGTCTGTGTTTATCCGATCTCGATGTAATGATCATATTATTGATGATGTTCATACTGCAACCCGAGGTTCTATGAGTATAGGCGAAGCAGTGGTGCATAGAAGTCAAATTTACAATTAACGAGTATAAAAGTACCACTAATGAAGCCCTTTGTGCAGCATGGAAGAGTTAAACAGATATGAACACAAAGTAAAGAATCAAAAGGAATTTGTATAACCACACTTATGGTATCTTGGTTTGTTTTTAAAGATAACCTCTCATCAGGTGTTTTTGTTGTTGCATGAAAAGTCCTAAATATATCTTTAAAACTAGAACCTGTCTTAGGATGTAGTTGTGCAGGAGAAGACCTGGTCTCATCAGATTTTTGATACAAATGTACAGTAGTAACATGTTTTCTCTCCAAATTGATTTACAGATCTCAGAAAACACATTGAGCCTCATCTCCTGATACTGGATTATAAGGGTTCGGTGATGTGATTTCGCCATTAAGTGTTGGCTTTGTCAGTGATTGTT